TTCCCATCCCACAAACCCAATCCACAAAGATGTCTCATCGTCGGTCTCCCATGCGGACAATTCCACGGCTGTTCAATCTCCCCCATATGTCTTACCACTTTTTCCATCTGTCCCTGTGTCAATGATTTCCCAATCATAATACTACTCCTACACGCCCTCATCGCAAACATTTTTCTAACTTTACTCGGTCTTACCATTCCGGCTCTACCGCCACTTTCCGCCAATAGCGCAATCAGTTCCTCAAGATCATCGATTGAAAAGGTTGTTTCTCTCGAAACGGGAAGAGAGACAAGTTGACATCTTCCCCCTACATTTTGGGATGATTGATCGATGGTCAAAATAAATCCATTTTGTTCCAAAATATCGAGATTTTCAGCTACAATTTCTTCCTCGAGTGCTGTGAGAGAGAGTGTTTTGGGGTAAACTAATCTTTGTGATTGTACTATTGTGGTAGCTTGCAATCGTTCAAAATTGTACTTTTCGTCTGATGAATGTTGATCGATGATGAAAACATTATCTGCCGTTTGTATTCCGCCATTTTCAGGTGTCGGCTCAGGGGCTTTCGATGCGAGGATAAAGCCGAGATTGAATTGACCAATGATTTTCATCTTGGCGAAATCACTCTTGGAAATTGTAAGGGAGAGCCGCTCTTCGGCACCGTCAGAATCAAGAGCTTCGTCTTGAGAAGTATAAGTAGTTTGATTTGCGTATAAAGAAAGCGCATCTTGCAAAGATTCAAACTGTTGGTTGATATCAAGAACAGTTGTGTCAACAGTCTGTGTTAGATTGAATGTGGATTCCTTCCTCTTCGCGGCACCCTTGATAAGTAATTTTGTACGTGAAATGTTGTCTTGAGATGGTAGCGCGGCCGTTCTTTCAGCATCCTCAATCATCTCTTGGACTTTCGCTTCTTCGCGAACCTTTTTCTCCTTCTCGTCCAAGTACTCTCCATCTTCCTCCTCTCCATCCGCAGTATGCTCTGGAGAAACTTCTGATGGCATAGGAGCATCCTCATCTACAGGAGAAGCTGTTGGTGAATTATTTCCATCCGCATCTGCATCAGAAGCGCTTGAGGAATTAGGTGAAGCGGTTTCTAACGTAGACTCTGGCTCTTCTGAATCGATCATATTCGTATCATCACTAGCTTCTGAGATTTGAGTTCCAGGTGCACCGAATCGTTGGAGAAGTCGTTTCCCAAAAGATGGCATAGGTAAATTCCTCTGAAGCTTCCCACTCTCACGCAGGGAAGCAGAATTATTGTCAACTTTCAATCTCTTAGGGGGGGGTGTTCCAATAGAGCTCGTCACAGTATGATCACCTATCGTTATTGTAGCCATCTCTTGTTGAGAACGTTGTGGTCTGCTACTTCCAAGCGAGCTCAGTACTCCTGGAGTAGACATCGGGGATGGTGATATAAGTTGGGGAATGGGCAGTTCTGACTGGGATGGACTGGGCGGATCTTCAGCGCCTTCCAAGGCTTTTGACCCTTCTCTTGAGACGCTAGCCTCAGCCATCCGGTCATTAAAATCAGCAACGTGTCGAGGGGGTCTATAAGTGGGCGCAGCTTGAGAGTCTTGAGTTGTCACAATCGAGCTTTCAGGGCTTACAAGATCATCTTCAGCTTCCTCGACCCGAGCAGCTTCCCTGCCAAACCTGGATATCAATCTCTGCTTTTCCTTTGACGGGCCGTGGTTGACATTTTGCATAGCCTTCGGAGGTGCTGGTTGTTGATCACTCCGTTCTTCAGACTTACGACCGACCCAATTCGTAATCAAAGTTATAGCTGTGCCATCTTGCGACAGTGAGTTTCGTGACATAGAAGAACGTTTTGCTTTTGAATTCGACTGCACGTGAGAATCCTGACTAGCTATGCTTTGAGCGTTACTAGATCGTCTAGAATTCGAGATTGCGCCCGAAGCTTGTTCTTCCTCTTCATCTTCTTCCGCGTCATCTTCCTCGGCAGATTGTGGAGATGCTTGCGGGCGCTTTTGCAAACTTTTGGATGCACTAGCAGCCTCTCGATTAATAGTCAATTGTTTAAACTGCGGTTGCTTCTGTGCTAGCAATTGAGATACTGGTATCGTATGGTCCTGACCTTCAAAAAGTCCAGCAAGAGCCGTCTTGAGGTTCTCCAACATACGACTTTGATCATGTAGTAAAATGGTACGTTTATCAGGGCTAACATTGACATCATACAAATGAGTGTCTAATTCGATATTAGCAAATATAAATGGGGACTGAGTGCTTCCCCATCCATTGTATGATTTATAGACCTCGTTGAAAGCCTTTGCCACTTGAGGAAGTCCACACGGTCTCGAATTTACGAAAAACATTTGTCTATCAGGAGTTTGACGTCCTTCTCCCGTAGCTGGACGCGAAATATGACCAATAATTCGGATGTCCTTAGTCTCACCATCATCCTGTGCACTCCGTCTTTGACTGGAGCCACCCGTAGGCTCCAACTCTAGACGTAAATCCATTGGTATTAATTGGGTAAGAGTCTTCGCACCAAAAACATTAACAATGTTCTCTCTGGTAGTAGGATTCCCTTTTGTAGAAAAGATTGTTGTCTTTTTGCCCTTAGCTGCCTGCTGCGAGACTGTAAACTTGATACCTGTTTGTATACAAGCATATTGTCCCAGAACACCTGTAACCTTGCTCCATTCTCGTTTTATGTTTTTCTCAAGCTCTCGTCGTCTCACTGGCAGATTGTTGAATAAGTTCTCTACTATCACCGTAGTTCCTTTCTGCGCCGCTACAACAGATGTGCCTTTTAACTTCCCTGAGATTTCGAATTCGAGCTTCGTACCTTTCGGGGCACTTTCTGGCATGCATGTAATGACGGAGAAATTTGAAAGTGCACATAGTGAAGATAAGGCTTCACCACGGAATCCAAATGTTTGAAGCGTCGTCAGGTCGTTGTATGTGGTCAATTTCGAGGTATGATGTTTGAGTGCTAAGGTATCATAATTGTGCGGAGAAATTCCACCACCATTATCCTGTACCTCGATTGCTTCGAGTCCTTGATTCTTAAATCGCACATCTATTTAATCTTTAGCATGCGAAATCCAAAGAGTGTAGATATATACATGTTCTTACCAATACTCGTTGCTCCAGCATCCAGACTATTCTCCACCAGTTCTTTCACGACCGAACATAAATCAACAATTACCTGGCCAGACTGGATCTGATGGATCTGTAGACATATAAATCATTAGTTAGTATTATATAGCAAGCTGAGATCCTAGAGATATTCTCACCGTCCGGCCTTCAATAGGTTTTATAGTAGCCATATCATTTTCCTTTGATCGTTGAACGCGATTGATGTTGGGCAGACGCGCCTGAAGATCCACGAGTTTAACGTGGTTGGTTTTCGCGTCATAAATGTCACTTCGATTTCAATGTGATGGATGGGAATATAATTTTTATCGTTTATCTTATTATTTTAATGGGTCTAGAAGTAAAATACTACATGTTCGAAGAGAAGGAGCACTGGTTAATTGAATTATCAGATGGGAAACCAGATATAGCGACTACAATCGCTGACACAGGCTCTACGTTGGAGAAAAAAGAGGCCGGAATTGACCACTGGTAAAGCCCTTCAATAATCCAAATGTTCCATTCCGGTTTAAAAAATTAAATCTTTAAATAATTTTTATGATTGAAAATTATTCCAGGATTTAATTAATATTATTAATTTTAGCATTTTATTATTAATCGATTTATTATAGAATTTGTTAGAATGATCAACTTTGGCCTCTTTTTTCTCCTACAAATAGACAGGCTCTAGAGTAAACGGAGTTGGTGGGGGTCAGACCACCAGAGCACACCAGAGCACACCAGAGCACATCAAAACAAGTACTATGGAATTCGGTCCAGCTCCTCTCTTTCGCTAAATCACAAGTATCGACTTGAGCCAATTCCCATAAACACAGTTTATTAGCTAGTTTACTACTATACTTTCAAGCTTGTCAGTTGATTCAAGCTAGATTCCAGTTTGACCAATAAAGGTTGATAATATCCTCTTCTTCTTACACTAGGTTATACGCATCACAATCGTTAGCTAATCATTTCGTGGGAATCTTCACCGCTTTCGTCGATCATCGATGTCGGGAGAAAAGGAGATAGAGAGATAGCATGATAAGACAGAGATAGGCTCGAAGATAAGAGATTTTTTCATCATTATTTGCAGCATCACATCAGCATCATGTTATGAAAAAGGAAGATCCAACAGAGTATTCAGAACCATGAACTTTTATTTTGCTCTCGAAACGCTTGCATCTTATCAGCAACGGCCAAACTATATCACGACGCTGCCATCCGCTTCCTATTCAAATAACTGACCGACATTCGTTGGAAAAAGGGAAGCGATAGTGCATGAACATGCATGGACAGCACGAGCTTTTATTTTTGCGTCGTGCATGAGCAGAAGGGGGAAGAAAACCTGGCGAGGAAGATTACCACTTCATATCTACTCCTAACTCTCCATGGAAACTCATAGCTTGGAGTTCCTCTTTCCCTCGACAGCGTTGCCATTCGTGAAGTATACATCAGGCTTCATGCTGTTGCATGTCCAAGTCTTAGATTGGTGTCGTGAGTTGCAATAGCTAAAGATGCCGAAAGCGAAAGGTGGGTGGGTTATTATTTTGACATTAAAGTGGTGACGCGACCATCCATGCGTCTACCCGAATAATTTTTTTGGTAATATGATGAGGATCCTAAACATAACATGGGAAAGAAATGCAAGAAAGGAAGCGCATATTTTTGTAGTAGTACAATCCATCAATGTAGGTGGATACTGGAGTACCAGTAGCAGTTTGATGGGAAGAGAATGCAAACAAATTTCCATTGGGATCAATGTGCTGCACTAGAGTAGAGGAAAGAGATCGTTATGTGGTATCATCCATCGACAAGAAGCAAAGAAAAAAACGCCACGCGCCAATCTTGATATTTTCATGAATCGCATAAAATCAATGAGAGGTGGTGGTGATTTTGCTGAACTATGAAGTGGCTGATTGTGGAGTTGATGACTCGCTGTCTCCAACCATATCTGCAACACGCATTTTCTTAGCGCGAGGTGCCCCGTCACGCAATTCGTTGAGTTCACGCTCAACATCATCCAGGCGACGCTTCAATTGATTTTCTCGACGTTGAGATTCTTCAAGTCGATTCACTAGATTATTCTCTGATTCTCTGAGCATCGCCACTCCTTGGTTCGCATTGGCTTCATCCTGTTCAAGCTGGGTGACTCGACCACGAAAGAGTTCGTTTATAACCTCCAGCTCGTTGACGCGAGTTTTCAAAGAAGAATTCTGGGCGATAAGCTGTTCGTATGTCTGAGGTACTTCGAGACCATGCGGACCATTCATAGATGGGGACGTAGACCGTATATCGCCAGGGGAAGGTTGTCGAATGTGCATAGGCGGAAGAGAAGGGGAATGATTGTAATGATGTTCTTCCAAACCATTTCCGTTGAATGGGGGTAAATGATTACCGTACATCGAAGGAGTCGCAGTTCTGGAGATGGGAGAATTCGATCCATCTGAATGACCGTTGGCAGACTTTCCTGATGCTCTTCTATGCCCAAGTGAACCTGGCGGTGGTGTGCCAGCTTGCGATCGCGCTTGGTCAAGACCATTAGCTTCGTATAGAGTCTGCGACAGAACGCGTTAGTTATCGTGCCATTACTACAGAATAAATTACAATAGTATGAATAAATACATACCTTTTTCTTTGCACCCTGAGCAGTACCTGAACTCTTGACGCGATTTCGACTCTTGATAACATCTGTCTTGAGGCTTATCGGCCGAGGCCGCCCGTGCAATTTCAGGAAGAGACCACAAGCATTGCATAATACAGATCCTATTTCATCTCTCCGCCATAAGGGAGTCGTTGAAGTCTGACAATTCTGACAGGTAGGCTGTTGGGTTTCGCGATCATTGTTAGCCATTGTAGCCATGATTGTGGTATTGATAATATGATAATTTGCAAAATCGCTATCGTTATCGGAGATTGGGAAGGAACGAAAATTCTCGCAGATTGCTCTTGCTGATATCGCTTGAGCGCTTGAGTTGTGAAGTAGTGGGATGGGAAGGCACGGACGGGAAATCCCGAGTACGGTTGATCTTAAAAGACTAAATGACAAGGAATGACCGATAAAGAAAAGGTGACCGTATAATACTTATCGGCACATTAATCCCAAAGGATTGGTAGGATTGGTAGGATAGGAAGGACAGGAAGGACAGGAAGGACAGGAGGAGAATATGGATTAGGAAAGGAAGAAAACGAAAAAGATGAATAAATCTGTAACATGGAGATCAGATCATCAGACTCAGAGAGAGAGAGAGACATTATAGAATGTTCCCGGTGATTTTCTGAACACAATGACCATATCAAGAATAGAACGTGAGATTGATACAAATAGACAATGTATAGTATCGCGGCATAAAGTGGGAGGGAAAAAGAGAGAATATACAACATACTGGTGAATTGTTTTGCCCTCCTCCGGATGTAGCAGATGGCGATGATGTCGCATACCCCATATTTACATTTTGTCCAACATTGAATGCTCTATAGTGTGCTAAATTAGCTTTTGAACTATGCTTTATTATGTTGCACATCATAGAATTCAAATATACGAAACTATAATTCCCGTATCCATGAAAGCTTCAAGGAATCCCAATATGTCTTTGTCCATTCAATAAGAAATAAGAAACAAGAAACAAGAAGCATTAAACTCAAAACTTTCATCTCCAATTGAATTGAAACCCTTCCATCATCCGAGACAATAGTAACATCAGTTTATATTTTCCTCCGCAATGCGAACGTACCTCAATTGTGGTGAACTTGTACCCGAAGCTAATGAAGCCAGTGCGGAGAGACCAGGTAGTTGCGGCAGTGAAGCGCTATGGTGTAAAGAAGAGTTCACTGTTGAGGTCGAGGATGGTCGAGAAATTGGATCCATGGGTGGCATGATTGGCAATGATTGCCTTCCATCGCTCATCGATGGTGACATTCGGAAAGGAGGCAGATCTCGACTTGAGTCTCCTGAAGAAGGCCGCAGATGAATATCGAGGGGCGATGCCCGATAAATGGGAGCGAGTGTAGAAGCCGTGGTTGCGGTTTGAGGGGGTTTGTTATTAAATCACGTCCGAAAGAGAACGCGAGGTATGTGGTTGTAGTAAGGTGGAAATCGACTGTTCCTTAACTTTATCTATCTCCAAATGTCTATATCGAAAATAGCAGAGATCGTTCGAATTGTAACTAGAAGGAAGGCGACTACGCTGACACTAGTAGCGAGAACGAAATTATTCTTCGAGAATTGCAAGTAAGTGAATGAAGCACGAGACTTTTTCGGTTGACCCAAACGAATGACAATGATATTCAAACTTTTCAAGGGGAGTGATTTGAATTCTGGGTATATGAGAACGATGAATGAAGAGACAGTAAATGATGTTACAGTGCAAAGTAGCAAATCAGAGTTACAAAGATTGAGAAAGAAGTTATTGAGGAAAAAGGAATGGCAGCTGGATCCTGGCCGCCCCTTATCCATTCGCGCTACCCTGCAATCGAAACAATCTATAAAAAGGATACTCCCGGACGCAAGGTACCTGATCATGACATTATGACAAGCTCCAAAAATGTACAAATTTTTACTACGAGGAATGATGAGTTATCTACCTACGCATCATTACTTTTGAAGTCAAAGAATGTATTTGAAATTGGGAGTCCCATACGGAGGAGTTTCACATTGTTATGATTGAATTGAACCACTTCATCTCCTCGGACTCCCCTCGACTCGATACCAATCTCTAGGTACAGCATTGAGCACATCAATCGATGCATGCAAGATCGGAACATCTCACCAACGCTGCTGCTAAGAAGCTGTGGGAACATGAAGTTTCAAGATTCAGATAGATGGACGGAGAAGAAAAAGCAATCTTCTAGAAGCAGTACGACCGAACGAGAATGAAAGAGTGGAAAGCAATCATCACTCAAAGTAAGCTTATCATCTAGATTGAGTGTCACCTCTCTTCCTCCTCTCATGCGATCAATGCAAGCCCTAATTATCACAATCTATACATAACAGTTGGTATGCTAGGTCTACTCCGGCTGATTCGATCAAGCTATACGATATGATATATAATGATATGTATCCGGGTGGGGGTTATGAGGAGATGATCCACGACCATGGCGCTAAGGCGGCACAAGGGTTTGAGAGTTCCTGACGGACTGAGATGATTGAGTGGATCAGCTTAATCGGCAGTCGATAAACAATCGAGACAATCTCAAAAGCGTACAAGGAAATTAACAAGGCTGACCATTAAGAATCCTTGAAAACGAGCCACCGAGAACAGCTTTAGTTTACCCCTGAGATCGAAATTAAGATTACAGTACGGTCACTTCTGGAGGTTAAAAGGAAGCTCAAGGAAGGAAAGGACAAAAATAAAATGTGTCACGAGCCAGTTGGAAACAAGAGATTAGTCTTTTTCCTGTCCTGATCATGCGTGCGTATAAACGACAAACGTACGGAGCACAGTGGACCTATTGTGAGATGCTCGGGTCTATTGTGTGTATATCCCTTGACCCCGATAAGCTGATCAGCGTAAAATCGATCAATGATATGCATGAATGATATAAACTGGCATGGACGGTATACACGGCATTAACGAGTAGCTTACCATTGCAATCCGACATAAGACGAGGGAGGGTGTTGAGCTGGTAGCACGAGGGCCGCGTGGTAGTTGTACTGAGTACTGAGGACTGAGGACTGAGGACTGGAGTACGGAGTACAGTACGGAGTAGAAACGGTTAAGGATGACGAATTCGTGGAACACGATTTGATAACTCTAATCCTAATCGCCTCAATGCCAACAATCTGGAAATCTGTCAATCTTGTCAATCAATCATCCGCTTGAGTATTCAGGGGTGAACGAACATTCCGGTCCAGCCGATCCAAAATTGGACCTCGTGACATTTATCACGTGATGACTACATTCGTGGCGGGTTTCGATGACCCTAGTTGTAAGCTAGCAAGCTACTACGGAAACCTAGATCAAATGCAAAGTCTCAAAAATATTCTTATTCTGCCAATGACTTTTTTTTGAGTAGGAATTTTAATTTTGAAGCTTCACCAGTCAAACACCCCTCACCATCAGCATTCACAATGCCTTCGGTATACAATAAAGAAAAGCCTTGGGACACAGATGATATTGATAAGTGGAAGGTAAATTCTTCAAGACCTCTCAGGTTTTCCAATTTCATTGGGTCGGCGCAATACTAATTAATACCTACTAGATTGAAGCATTCACACCTGCCGATAATGCAGGTGGTACCTTCACAGAAGAGTCCTCCTTCGCAACACTCTTCCCCAAATATCGCGAAGTATATCTCAAGACAGTCTGGCCACTTATAATGAAATCGCTGGAGAAATATGGTATTGCTGCGACACTTGATTTGCGCGAAGGCTCTATGACGGTCAAGACTACCCGAAAGACATACGATCCAGCCGCTATTCTCAACGCACGAGATCTTATTAAGCTACTTGCGAGAAGTGTGCCTGCGCCACAAGCGATCAAGATCCTTGAAGATGGTGTAGCATGCGATGTCATTAAGATTCGTAACCTGGTTCGAAATAAGGAACGATTCGTGAAGAGAAGACAGAGAATCTTAGGTCCAAACGGAAGCACCTTGAAAGCGTTGGAACTCCTCACAGAATGCTATCTACTAGTTCAAGGAAATACTGTATCAGCAATGGGTCCTTACAAAGGCTTAAAAGAGATTCGACGAATCATCGAAGATTGCATGGCCAACATTCATCCTATATATCACATCAAGGAATTAATGATCAAGCGAGAGTTGGCTAAGGACCCAGAATTAGCGGGCGAGAGTTGGGATAGATTTCTGCCACAATTCAAGAAGAGGAATTTGAACAAGAGAAGAGTGCCCAGAAACGTTACCGACAAGAGCAAGAAGGTTTACACCCCATTCCCACCAGCACAAGAGAAGAGTAAGGTTGATCTACAGATTGAGAGTGGAGAGTACTTTTTGGGCAAGCAAGCAAAGGAGAGGAAAGCTCAAGAGGAAAGAATAGAGAAGCAGAGGGAGGAGAAAGAAGAGAAGATGAAGAAGAGGGCCGAAGAATTCGAGGCACCAGCTGAAGATGGGGAGAAGAAAGAGAAGAAGAGAAAGAGAGATAAGGATAGCGGGGAAAAGAAGGAAAAAAAGAAATCGAAAAAGAAGAAGAGCAGTGATGCTGATGGGGACATTGATATGGCCGAAGACTAAAACTAATTTATCATGTATATCAAGGATGATATATCGAGGCGCAATCGGGCGTTCGTGGGAAAAAGATACCTAATACAGTTTTGTATGTGGTAGATAGGATGATCTGTCTAGGCTTCGTAGACTCGTACGAATTCAAGTATTTTCTACAAGCTCATCTCTGTAGAGATTTCCTTTGCAACTGCAGCCTCATCCCCGATGGCCGGGCGGACAATGGAGAAACTTGACATGGGAATTCCGTTTGCAATATAGAAATATGGACGTGTACAAACCGATTGCAAGCCGATTGGCAAAATAGGAAGATGGATCCGCTGACAAAGATCACACTTCTCCAAGTTTAGCAGATCCCCCGAACACTTATTACTAAACAACCTTGATACTCTAATGGTTTATAATCACGACGCAACCTTCAATTCATATCTCCAAGCACACATGTAAAGATGATTGGTTATCTTCTATCTAAGTCCCTGTAAATTCATGTCTGACCTGCATACATGCGGAGAAGACGGTAGTTGCTAGTTCTCTTTTTCATTCCAACCATACAATGAGCGACGATACTCTTGATGCTGAAAATGTATGTATGATATCGGGAAGGTGGTTGAATTGTGGCTAACGTGCATGCTTCTAGAATGAGTAGCTTATGGCCTGGCGAGCGCTTGGCATTCCACTCATGAGCATTGCTGGACACCAGCTTTTGGAATCCTTGCATAAATTTGAAGAAGAACAAAAATCTTGGCGGACAACGGCCGTCCCCGATTTATGCTATCAGTGGTTTGGGATATGCGCGTCGAAGTCGTTTCGTATCTTTGATGTGTTATTCGTGGGTGGTGTTGAAGATCTCTGAGGGTGGGTGCAAAATGGGTGGAATGGGAAGGCAACATAAATGGTACCTGCCTCTTTCATAACCGCCATCACGGAGGGGAAAAACGATGTGGATAGCTTCACATCTAGGGCGTCACAATCCACATTGATGCCACTCTCAGGTTGTGAAAAAAGCAATCCGTTGTCTGAAGTATAAATAGTCATATATTTCCCTCCGAGCTTTCGATCAACCAGCAATCCTCTCCCACAGCAGATCAATCCCCACGGCCATTTCCTCCATCTTTCTTGGCATTCCAACTTCATCATGAAGGTTCAAACCAGTGCAGCTCTTCTCCTTTCTTCTTGGGTCCCAGCTACATACGCTTGGGGTACCTTGGGGCATTATACTGTTGGATACGTCGCCACTAACTTCGGTGAGTACTGATCTTTACCGTGATATCACACGTATCTCTAATATCTCGCTTCCTCAGTCTCTACTGCCACAAAGACCTATTTCCAAGACCTATTGGGTGATACCAGCACAGACTACTTGGCTTCTGTTGCTACCTGGGTTAGTCTTCCAATATATATGAAAGTGAACATGCATTTTTTCTAAGCCCTCTACAGGCTGATTCATACCGATACACCACTGCTGGAACTTTCTCGGCACCTTTCCATTATATCGATGCTCAAGATAGCCCACCTACTTGTAAGTAAACAGAATTTTATCACAAATTCCTTAAGAAGAATAAATAGGGGAAATTTTTCTGCTCAACTCAATCACCTTATCGAGTACAACGATACTGATATAACACCTTTTAGCTTGTGGTGTTTCATACTCCAGAGATTGTGGATCTGCAGGATGTGTCGTCAGTGCCATCAACAACTACGTGAGTTTGTCGTAGATCAATGACATTCACGAGTGATACTAATCCACTATAGACAACCATCTTACAAAAGGGCACTGCAAGTGCTGCCAATTTGGACATCGCTGCCAAGGTAAGCTCTAATCCGCTTTTCGAAAGCTGTTACTGATATTCTCTAGATGATCATTCACGTATGTTCTGATTTTCTCTCCCAATTCTGGATTCCATCATGTCTCCATTCTCCTTATTCTACATGTCATTTCCAAGGCACATGGACATCTCGCACAAAAAAGATGCTCCGTACCATATTTGTCCCCACGTGGGCGAAGCGTCAATATATCCAAAATCACCCCTTGCTCATACATCCTAGTTCCTCGGCGACATCCACCAACCTCTCCACGATGAAAACCTCGATGTAGGTGGCAACACCATCGCCGTCACCTACGCCGGCAAAACCACCAACCTCCATTCAATCTGGGACACTGCTATTCCCGAACAATACACAGGCGGTTACGCACTTTCCGATGCCAAGACATGGGCAGCAACTCTCACCACCGCCATCAAAACCGGAACATATTCTTCATTGAAAGCAGGCTGGACTAAAAATATGGATATCGATGACCCAATTACTTCCTCAATGGTTTGGGCATCCGACACAAATGCCTATGTTTGCAGTACCGTTTTGCCCAAAGGAGTTACGGCGGTTGAGTCAGGTGATTTGAGTACCAATGGATATTACACAGCTGCGATTCCAGTGGTCAAGTTGCAGATTGCCAAGGCAGGATACAGGTTAGTAGTAGTTCCTCACGTTCTTTATTTCGATCCAGAATTGGGATTGGGATTTGGAGAGTAAGAAAGCTAATTATTGATAACAACAGACTTGCAGCTTGGTTGGACTTGATTGCTACTGGTACTACTAACCTCTAAATGAAATGAAGGTTGGGAGTAGGGGGGAAATGAGAGAAGAAGGTGGGAAGGAAGTGTATATAGGGCCCGTTTCAAAATGTCAATATTCATACCTAGGTAACTGTCATATGCACAATATATACATGCTTAACAAATAAATCGAATCACTTCTGTTGAAATAATAACGAAGAATCATTCAAGATGGAATTACACTTCAGAGAGGTTAGGGTATCTAGTCGATATTACAAACTACAGTTTTTTTTTCTACCAACCTTACTAGCAAAGCTCTCTGAGATCTCCTAATTCAATGCTCATCACATTCTACTCGAAGCTATATAGTCGAATCATCAAAATAGATAGAAGAATACCTGGATATACAATCCCTATCTATCTTAGCCAAAATGAACAAGGAATTGTGATCACACATAGGTAGTAATACATTGATAAATATATACGAGTATAAGAAATCTTGTCATTACATCATGTAGACTAATTTTTCATGTATTATATACTATATATATATATATGATGAAAAAACACGAAAAAACTAAGGAAAGATTTTCTTGGAAAAACCCATTAATTTTTATTGTATTTGAATCAGAATATTATTCTTTATTCTTTTTCGAAGTTATCGAATTGATATTTACCTGGGTTAAAAAGATATTATTATTAATATTAAAAAGGGAGGTCTGGTATATCTATATTGAAATTATTAATATTAATATTATTAATAATAGGCTTATTATATTGAATATAATTAATAAAAAAGGTTAAATTATAAATTCTTATAATAATTTGAGCTTTTTAATACTCAAAAAACCTTATGGGTGTTACGGGAGCTGCCTCTAGGGTCACGTGGAAGTGTCTAGAGATCTCTCGAGGTGGTTTAGACTAGACTTCAAGTAGGAATTCAATAAGGTTGTAACTGGTTGCAATTCTCGTAACTATAGTAATGAAACTAATGATTGTTCTTGAGCACGAAGCTCTACATTATAATGAAACCCATTCCCTTATATAGATCTTCGTACCTTATGAATCGACAAGTCGATTACCGTAAAGCCGATTTCGACAAGTCGGTTTCCTGATCACGTGATGTCCATCCCGTGACTGGTAATGATGCCACCGCTTATCTAACCTGTGCTCTCTAGCCGACCTGTGACTGCTGCTTACCCTGTGCCCACTGTAGGGTAGGTAACAACAAAAGATAGGTACCTATCTTTTAATCACTGATTACTTATCTGGTTACCGCTATCTTTCGTTACCCTTCAATTCAACTATCCCTACAGTGCTGTTTTCGTAGGTTCCAACACCAAGGCCTTAGGTTTATCTTATAATCCATGTTGCGGTGCGGGTACCTCCGTAACAATATGATTGTCAACCTTTGTTGGAACTGAGCCTAATATTAGGAGTCAGGATAATATTATACTCGAGTAATTATATAGGATAATTGTGGAATAATACTGGAATAGTGTATATATAATGTGGTTTGTTAGTATATACATTATATTAATACATATAATACTTTGAAATATATACAAAGTTTGTTTATACATAATGATTTTTTTTTGATTTATCGATATAATTTAATTCTTTTTTCTAAATATTATAATTCTCTATATAAATAATATAAATTTCTAATTAATAATTAGAAATTTGATTTTATATAATAATTATTATATAAATAATATTCTTATAATAGAAATCATAACAATTTCCATTATTTTTGAAATATACTAAAAACATTTATGATTTCTAATTATCTATATAAAATCTCTATCATTAAATATATTTTCTTTTTTGAAAAATATTAATTAACTATTGAAATATAAATATTAGGAAAAGATCAATTTTAATATATCTTGAAATGATACATATATTGATATAATATATATACTAATTAACTACGTTATATATAACCGATATCCCTGCATCGTGCACGACCCTGTATCTTGCACGCTTTAATTTATTGAATTAAAAATTGATTATGAATCTAAAACTATTTATAATAATATCAAAATTTATAAAAAACAAATTGAAGATTAATGAAATATAAATCTATATTTAAAAGAATTTATTTTTTTAAAAAAAAAGTCCTTAAATTTCATAATATTCCTAATAATTTTACAGATTAAATATAATTATAATTTAATATTATAATATATTCTGTTTTTTATTAATATTCAAATTAGTTCTATTTTTAATAAATTTAAAAGAAAATCTTTTTTAGAAATATCTTATTATTAATTATATAATCCTAATATTTAACTTTTATAATTCTTTTAATAATTGATTATATATATATATATTTAATAAAATATAGTTTTTTTTAGTCTTTTAATTAAAATTAATTTATTAATAATATTATATAATTAAAAAAATTAAAAATTATTATAAAATACTTGATTTATAATTAATTTTTATTTTAAAAAAGATTATTTATAAAAACTTAGAATAATATATTGATATAATATCAAATTTACAATATAAAAACTTAATTTTTTCAATTCTTTATATTAAAATATATTCAAATTTATAAAAAAAAAATCAAATTTCGTTATTCCTATTAATAAATAAATTAATATATGATATTTTTATATTAATAATTTTAATATTAAAATTATATTATATATAATAATTATTTTCATATTTTAATTACTTTATAAGAAATAAATAGTAATATAATATATTATTTATAATTATTAATAGAACTCAATAATTGGTTGATTATATATTGAATTTAGAATATCTTTTTTAAAAGAAATAAAAGTGTGCACGATATAGGGGCGTGCACGATGTAGGGATATCGGTTATACATATATATAAATATCCTTGAATCCTTCTCATTCATACTAAACCGCTATTAGAGCTACCAAATAAACGACATCTATACACTCCCACTCTAGGAAATCTTTCCAAAATTTCCACATATACCTACACCTACACCTACCTAGCTAGGTATTGCTTCAAGCGCGAAAGAATTATTCGTTTGTTAATCTATTTGATTTGATCTGATCTGATTTGTTTCGTTTCGTTTCGTTTCGATCCGATCTGATTCAATAACATATTTGCAACAGCTTGATATCAACACAAACCACCCACTAAATTTTAATACTCCTTCTATATATATAAATAAATAAATATCCAGATAGATACCTATTCAGATAATGCGTTTTTATCTACACTTCTTTATAGAAATATAGGAAAAACTATAATAATCTTGTCCTTTAAAGAGAGTTCGAGACTAGTTATTCTCTCATGTATAGATATGGAGCTTTTGATAGAATAGGTGGATGTATATGTATATGTATCAGTGAGATGGAGTGAGATATTTGGGGTTTGGGGTTTAGGGTTTGTTTTGGTGATGGGATTGGAATGGGATGGAATAACCATCGTGTAAAAGTTGTGATGTAAACTGTAATGTCGAGATTTCCAACACCCTTATAGCATGAAGTGGAGGGATAGGTACGACGTTATCACAATGAGCAATCAAACAAACAAAGTAGTTACCAACGTCGAAATAATATCGCCATTCATCTCTCCAGACTTCACTACATAACCAAACCATCCTCTTCACTCTCACCTCATATCTTCCACTCCACCACCCGATTCCGTACCAAATCAGCATGTCTTTTCTTCTTCCTTCCCGTCTTCCCTCATCTACTACTTCCAATTCCAAATCACCCATCACTAGTATCAGCCCCTCCACCACCCAAACATCGCCATATCTCAATTTAGATATAAATGTTATACGTGAAATTCCCGAATCCAGCCACCCACCCGCCAAGTATAGCTCGCCAAGCCCACTCGCTTTTCCAACCCCCCTAGTCCAATCCTCACCCGAAAGAGAGAGGATAGAAACTATCCCTTTAAAAAGTTCGTTCCAAAAAAAAAAGACTAGGAGTCCGCGCCAAAAGAATCGTGTATGAACATCAATCACATATACGCATCATAAAAAGTATAAAAAAAAGTAATCAAGTAAAAACACTCAAATCCATCGCTCCGTCTCCCTCCAATCCGTGATACGAATAGAGCATAAAGATAGGGGTATAAATACGACAGAAAAAAAAATGGCAAGGAAACTAGTTCCGGTAGACTTCAAAAGTGTCATGTCTAGGATATAGAGTATTGAGGAACTCCTGCACCTCAGGTAATATATTTGGTTTGAAGAAATAATTTGAAGTAAAAGTGAATGTTGCGTTGAGCAAAAGTAATATAAGAATGTATGTGTTGGACAGAAAGTGAAGTCATGATAGGGGCGAAGCCGGTGAAAATATTACGTGGTCCAGGCGTATTAGAAAATTGTATTTGAAAAGACATCCAGGAGATGAGAAATTATACGATGAGAATGAAGATAGAGTATCATCAAATGGCAGTGATCAGATTAAGCAGCCGATGGTAAGGAGTAAGACGAGGCCAAATATCGAATTCGATAATTCAGTTGATGTAGCTGCCGATTTCTTGGTACTTGACGCTGTTGCAGAGGCGGTTTCGGCGGCACTTGCGATTGGACTCATTGCTCTAGTGCCGGTGCCAGTGCTGGACACTGTTTGGGCTAGGGAAACACTCGATGCGCCAACAGTAGAATTTCCAGCTTGAAGAAACACGTGAGCTTCGTCGGTTGGATAGGCAGAAGCAACAATAGAGGTCGTTGTGTGGCTGAAAAGTGAGGAAGCTTGGCTCGCTTTGGTAGAAATCGACAAGGATAAGATTGCGGAAGAGGTAGAGGAAGAGGAGGAAGAAGAAGAAGAGGAGGAAGAAGAAGAGGAGGAGGAGGAGGATGAGGATGAGGAGGAGGAAGACGAAGAAGACGAAGAAGAAGAAGAAGAAGAAGAAGAAGAAGAAGAAGAAGAAGAAGAAGAAGAAGAAGAAGAAGAAGAAGAAGAAGAAGAAGAAGAAGAAGAAAAAGATGTAGATGCGGATGTAGATGTAGACGAGATAGTACTGCTAGTTGACGGAGGTGGGGTCGACGAAGTAGTTGGAATCGAAGATGATGAGCTGTGTGTCGGGGTTGGTGAAGGAGTTGGCGAAGCACTGCTTGAAGCAGCTTTAGATGACGAGGAAGCCGAAGATCCAGAACCGCCAAGCTCAAACACCACAACATCAGCAGTTAGGCCTGAAGGAACATTAACAACACAAAAGTTGGCACCTCCAGCCCCTGAAGCTTGATCGGCGCTGGTAACTCCACCAATTCCATCAACTGATGGATCAATTGAACAAGGAAGCCCATTACATCCAGACCCAGAACATTCGATTTTGATACCAAAAGTAGGCATGGTATCTGAAAGGGAGGAGGATGTCCAAATTGGGTTCCAACCAATTTTAAGGTAGGTATCACCGTTGGCGACAGTGTTAGCTCCGGCAACATATGGAGCCCAATTTCCGATAGGTTTTGAACCATCACCCCAAATACAAGCATCGGCAGTCGAGACACCTGGAGCATTGATATAATAGCTATAGACTGTTAGGATAATGAAATCACGGTATGATGTTCAATACTCACTGAGCTGCGGTTTCACACCAGTAGCTTGTACCTGGAACCGCCAATTTTGAGGATCCATCCACTGATGTTGGAATTAACATAGCCTCATTCCCAGGTAGGACCGTCTGACAAAACGAAACCGGTCCACCACAGCTGTTTACGACTCCAACTGTACCCGTTCCTGACACACAATAAGGTTGATTGGAGAATGGTTTGCTAACTTTGCCGTTCGAGTCGCAGTATAATCCTCCATCCTGCAAAACGATCAGTATTTTATTTAGGCCCAAAATTATCCGAACATACCATAGACAATGGATAAGTGTATGAAGTGGCTTTTGGATTCCATTGCGCCATGACTTGACCAGGAGGGCAAGCATACGGACAATATGAGCCTGGAGTACAAGCCTGATCTGGACTCATTGCCCATCCTGCATTTTTAGAGTTGGGTGTAACAGCAACCAATCCAGCGTCCGTTGGAAATTCGCAAGTACCACGCTTTTGTAACAAGTTCTTAGAATCTTCTGCTCGTGGTGATGCATGAATTCTATTATGAGAGTGCCGTTTTTGTAAGATATCGAGATGGGAAAGTCCATGGCCTAGCTTGGCTTCGCAAGGTAATAATAAGATTGCCGCCGCAGCAATTGCGATTGGTACGTTGAGGAACTTCATTGTGAAAGTAGTGAAGTCTGCGATCAACCAAATTCAGCTCGTGTTGCAAGATCTTTGATGCGCTTCTTGTTCTGCGTATATCCTTTCTTCCTCTCGTATGTGTTGGCGAAAACTCGGCGTATTATATTTTCCCCTCAAACTAATGATACCCGCGATGGTAATAAAATCAATAACGAGCCAGATTCAAAATGAGTAAGGTGCTTTCTATAGCAAATTTAATGAGCGTAATGGCGACGAGCAACCAAAAAAGAGTGAACTTTGAACACACTTGATGTTGAAGAGAAGGACGAGGGTAAAAGATGTAGGGGAGTGAAGGTGGGCGGGTGGATAAACGGTTCAGTTGGAGGTATCTGCGCTTGCAGGTCACCGATTCCATACAGGAATGGCTTAGGAACGTCCACCAAAAAGGTCAAGGCATTTCCCCATTTCCTCTTCCCTATCTTTCTCATCACACGTTAGTTCATATTGAGTCTTTGACAGGCTTTGCACAGGCGGTATAGGAAATTGGATGATAGGAACCATGAATTTAACCTCAATTAGGCTTTTATCTTCCCTTCAATTTCAAGGTTGATTGGATACGTGAAAAGCCATAATGTTGTGTTCCTGGAGCTAATGTTGAACGGGAATTAAAATGAAGAGATCGACCAATGATAAGACCCATGTAATTGAGATAGTTTAAATTAAATGAACCAAATAAGGTTTAGAGCTGATTGAAAGACATGCTTCTGATCCTTGTGTATTCTTCTTGGCTGTTGGCGGGAAATATCATCAGTTGAATGATAAAATTTGACATTCGTAACAGACCGCGAGGAGAGTCGAATCAATCAAATCAATACTAAGAACATTTCTCGTTAAAAGATTTGCATCCCCTCTTCTCGCAAATTGTTACATCTCGAACTTTGAAGATCAGTTCCCCCCTTTTCTTCTCCAATTCAATAGTTACAGACTCAGACTGCTAGCATTCGTATGTTTGGAGATAAGAAGAAAGGTATTGACGTAATTATTTTATTTCTTGCAACGCCAGGTATGCGTAGACTCGAGTATACGTATGGAAGCATTCTCCCGATTGTTTACTATGGAAACCAGCTGGAATGCGGATACATATCCATACTGATATGTATTAAGCCAATTTTTCGGCAAAACTCATGAAATATCGGATAAGTTCAAGGAGGCACAGCACAAAACCGGTACCTGGGTATGTATTGGAAAAAGAGGTACCGGGGATCAAGCGATTGCGGAGGTGAACCCTTCTTGCAACTATGCCGAAAGGAGATCACAAAAGGAGATCACGACACTGAACAACTTCGGCATCCGTTCGTGATACTCTCATCTCCATGCTCCCAAATTGTAAGTGTCAAACTTTAGATACGTGTATTGAGACAGGAACTTGTCTGAATGTGGCCAATCTCAGAGTACTACTCAGATCCTTTTGACGGATGCGTCTTGCAAATCTATGCGAAGGCTGAGGACGCTTCTTTTCTTCATGTTGTGTGCTTCTGGCGGTAAACAAAGGATTTTAATATTCACATCGCATGTTGCGCTCATGGCTTTCCTCGTAACAGTCATGTTGCAACCCAAATAATCTTGCGGTGGAATAAATCTTTATAGCAATGGTCCAATCGGCGACATCATGGAACTTGCTTATTAAGAATATGGTTGTAGTCACGTGGGAGCTCCCAGAGTGAGTCGTCAGCCTCACCCAAGGCTACCCAGCCTTGGGCTAGAACCCCACCACAGCTTGGAGCTCCAACATACATTGATTGCCTTCATTCATCACGGCCATTGAGACATAGTCTTTCAATACGCATCAAACTGTCGCCTCATCAATGTCGGCACAGCAAATACCCAACCTTCTCTCATTGCGAGGTGGTTCTCGGTCTCGTGGCAGAGGTAGAGGGCAAGGCCTGCGCGATCCTTTGAATCCTCATTCGGAGGTCTCTTCAAACCGTAGAGACAATGCCATTCAAGGAACCGATACAGATGCAGCTGTATCTCGTCTTAGTGCAGTCAATCTTGGCTATCTAGAGGACCGATTTGCTCATTATTTCGTCAAAGGAAGTGGAACACGAAGGCTGCCAATCATAAATAGAGGTTCGTTAGTCTTCGTTGCTGCGAGTGCAGTCCACTGACCTATTCGGAACCAGCTAATCTGTGACTTTGATTAGGTACATATTCTCGTACTACTGCTTTAGACCTCCTCATCGAATCCTTCTTATCTCAACCTGATACTTCTCCTTCACAGCAAAAACAAATAATATCTTTGGGCGCGGGAACAGATACTCGCTATTTTCGTCTTCGGGCGAAGAACATGCATAATAATGTCATTTACCATGAATTTGATTTCCCATCTGTATGCGTTGCGAAAAGTCGGTTAGTACAACAGAATCAAGCAGAACTCATCAAAAATGAAAATTACTTTGAAATCGGACAAAAAGAGGGCGTGCATGGAGAATTCACGGCGGCTAGTGGGCCACAAGAGAATACAGAATGGGGATTTAGCCGCACTTTTAAGACTCGATCAGAAGTTGGATACGTGTGCCATCCTTTGGACCTCCGAAAACTACCCGGCGCAACTAGTCTCGATTCATTTCATGGTATCAAGAGCGACATGGCCACGCTGATAATATCCGAATGCTGTCTATGTTATCTTGAGGTGAACGCGGCACAAAGCATAATAAAATGGTTCACAGACAAGATTCCAAGTATCGGGATTGTTCTTTATGAGCCAGTGGGAGTACATGATGCTTTTGGACAAATGATGGTAGAAAATCTAGCATCAAGGGGAATCACTATGCCTACGGTGCAGAAGTATAAGACGCTTAAGGACCAGAGGGATAGACTAGTAGGTCTTGGGTTTGGTAACGCGAAGGGTGGTATTAATGCCGTGAGCATAGAAGATTTCTGGGAACATTGGGTCGCACGCAGAGAAAGAGAAAGAGTGGACAGGCTTGAAGGTCTAGATGAAGTTGAGGAGTGGCTTCTACTGGCAAGACATTATTCTGTTGTCTGGGGGTGGACAGACGATTTAGGATTTGAGGGTCTAAAGGCGCTAAACTCTTGACCTATGAATAATGAAAGTCCATGAATATTTACAGGTGCACCGCTCTGAGCTAAAATTTCCATTTCATTGCCTTTACAGATTTTGTAAGCTCAAAGCGAACCTCTTGTTCTCTAAATGGCTGACGTTACTAGAATCCATGTAATCCTCTTCACGAAACTCATAGTTTTAGCTCGAAAGTCGAGTCAACTATTGTTATGTTCCCCCACTCCCCCTTCATCTTCCCCAGAAACATGATGAAACAAACATAACTCCGCCCAATGCTTCATACATTATGGCCGTTCGTCCGCTCTGAGAGTTCAAGAATTTGCGTGCATTATGAGATATGGTTACTTTTAGCCGAGTCTTTCATGAGGTCTAAGACTCAAGGAGGTTGCGATTGATTGTCTCAAGAGTAAGATGGTCAATTCGCAATTTCGCATGGAGGGCGTGTAGCGTTTACGATCAAACCAATGCCATGACAATCTAACCACAGAGGTCCATGTTGCAAAAGGGGCAAATTCAAGTCCAAGTTATCAACCACTAGTATCTATGTATTGTATCTCAACACAATGGCACTGAATGCGATTTTTTTTCGGACAATCCGGAATTTGACGTGTACTCAAGCACTTATTACATCATTGACCTTCATGAAGATTCATTGAAGTATCTGGTACCCATTTCACGATACTCATCAGAAAACAATGACTTTGAAATATACCCTCTGTCTCCTAAGAGTCCAAACACTCTTAGCTCTTGATTGTCTATAAAATGCCAAAACTAATGGTGTTTCGAATCCGTTTGAACATCACAAACATGCCAACTGATGAATCGGAACAACTCCGGAAACAAGCCACATCCACTCGTACCGATGCGCTAAAACAGGATACGGATTCAAGTAAAAGCACATACATTTCTCGTCCTCCTCCAGAACAATAAAATTTCACATCATTCGAGCGTGAATACTATTTTTTTGAATTTTTTTGTATTCGATGATACCAACAGAGTAACTTCAAATTCATGGAAGATGGCGGTTCTGGGCTACGAGCCCCACGCTACCCAGCGGAAGATACAAGTCCAACAACCGATCGAGAGCTGAGAGGATTTTTTTGTTATGGATTGGCAGCTGAGGTATTCGCTGTTTGTGCTGTCGGTACGTTATACTCTCGAATTCGAAAACGCCAATATTGACACGGTAAACAGGTTCATTTTTACCCGTTACATTAGAACAACTTGCCCGTGAACAAGGCGTCCTTTTTACAGACAAAATCACACCTTGCACGGCGAAGAATGCAACCGCTATTGCAAATGCTACTGTCAATGCATTGATGTCAAGAGCTGAAGGCTCAGATACACATCAATGCATCGTCAACGTGTTTGGCACTGAGTTGACCACAGCAAGCTTTGCTATGTACACATTTTCCGTTTCTGTGTTTATGCAGGCTCTTGCCCTTGTCTCTGTCAGCTCGGTTGCTGATCATGGTATGTTTGTTTTTAGTAATCCTACTACCTGCTTTAATCTGACAGTTTCCAGGTACTTGGCGTAAGAAGCTTTTAGCAGGATTTGGCTTCACGGGATCTGTGTCTGCCATGCTTTTCCTCCTGGTAGTTCCACAGATTTTTGTGGTGGGTTCCTTGCTGACTGTCATTTGTGTTGTGTGTCTTGGATGCTCTTTTGTCATTCTTAATTCGTACTTGCCATTATTAGTTCTGAATCATCCACTTGCTCAGAGTAATGAAGGTAACTCACATGGCTCTTTATCTGTTCCTCTTCGGTCAATATCTCCCGGACAAAGTAACCGAAAGCCGAGAGAGAGCTTCCGCCAAGAAGTCGACAAGGAAGTCATTATAGGATCCAAGGCCGATTCTTCAGACCTTCAACTTTCAACACAAATATCATCTAAAGGAGTAGGGATTGGATACATGGCTGCAGTTTCCGTGCAAGTGGTTTGCATTCTTATATTATTCTTAATGAACAAAATGGGGGTTTCGTCAACACTTCCTCTGCGAACAGTGTTATTCTTCGTTGGGTCTTGGTGGCTTACATTTACAATTCCATCAATTGTGTGGCTTCGAGATAGACCTGGACCACCATTACCAACAGCCCTGTATGAAGGACGAGCTTTCATGCGAACTTGTATGTCGTATACCATTTTCGCTTGGAAGTCGTTATGGAAAACAGTCAAGATTGCCGTCAAACTTCGACAAGTTTTAATTTTCCTTGTTGCTTGGTTCCTCCTATCAGATGCTGTGGCCACTATTTCAGCAACTGCTATCTTGTTCGCTAGGACTGAGTTACAAATGGGAACTGTAGCTGTCGCTGTGCTCTCGATAGTGGCTACAAGTTCCGGGATTGTTGGTGCTACGGTTTGGCCTATTATATCGAAACGATTCAGTTTGAGGACAAATCATATCATCGTCTGTTGTCTCTTGCTTCTAGAATTGGTTCCATTGTATGGACTTCTCGGTTTCGTACCGTTTGTACAGGCTTGGGGAGTAGGAGGTCTGCAGCAGTGGTATGAGATTTACCCTCTAGGTATTATTCACGGAATGGTGATGGGTGGTCTATCTTCATACTGCCGATCGTTTTATGGTCTATTAATACCGCCCGGTAGTGAAGCTGCATTCTATGCATTATTCGCAATCACAGATAAAGGAAGCTCGGCAGTAGGACCTGCTATTGTTGGCAAAATTGTAGATGCAACGGGACAAATTCGACCGGCATTTGGATTTTTAGCAGTTTTAATTGCGTTGCCCATTCCGCTTATTTGGATGGTAGATGTGGAAAAAGGACAAGAGGATGCTATTCGGATGGCGGGATTGATGAAGACTACTGATGATGGCCATGAAGATTTCGATTCTATTGAAGGATCATCTGATGGCCATGAAGCGGAAGGGCTCATGCGAGATCATGATTAAGTGGCATACCTATATACCACAGTTACGAATGAAATGATATATAACTTCTGAGTTTGCTATTGGCTGGCCACGAATATTTCTCCCTTATACGCCAATATGTCGCTGACTCAGCAAGGTCACAATTCCTACTGAATCTCAGCACCTTGTATTAGCTTATCTCAATTCAGACTCCTCTCGTCAATAAATCGTTTTTCATTATATTACTAAAGTACAGCTATTTATTAAACACTAAAATTATACTAAAACTCATATAATTTAGTAATATATTATAAGTTTCATATCAATCTCTTTATTTTTAATAAATTTTAATAAAAATAAAATCATGTATTTGTTATTAGGATTTTTATTAATTTTAATATCTAACGTAGTTTAACACCGAGTAGTCTATATTATCGAATAGCTTATTTCACCTCAATTTATATCTTTCTCTTTTAATATATATTTTTATAATAATTTATAATGAATTCGAATAATCAAAAAGCTTGTATACTCCTTATTATCGAAATTACTTATAAGATAAAGCGAGTTCGAGGTGTTTTGGCCGCTACATTCGGCGGGCTTCGTCGCTGTTTTACGCAGCCTCAGCACGCGCTAACGGCATCGTTCACATGCATTAGCGCGAACTCCACCCCACTAAAATTCATGATTGTTATCCATTACCATTTCCCGTTTCCCATTTTCAACATCACCATTCTAATTAAAAAAGAGCCAAAAATGACTGTATTCAAGTTATTTAAACCATAACCTTCCCACTTCTCTTTTCCTTAACACCTTTTTACCCCAATCAGTAATATACCTTCATTTATATTCAAACTATTTTCAATTTACCTTTTCCCTCTATCTTTTAAATCTTCTAGTATCGATTATGGCTAATACTTCGAAAAAGCGCCGCCTCTGTGATGATGTCCCAGGGAATATTAACCTCCAGAAATTCCTTGTACAACGTAGTAATCTTCAACAACAGACAAAAAAACCTAAGCTTACGCTAAAGGACTGCGAAATTAATATTCAAAAGCTGAATAAAGATGGTCCTATTGCATCAAAAAATATAGACACTACAAAGGAAAGCATTATTAATATATACCACAAATAAAAAAGATAAGAAAACAATCACCTATCTTAATTTTCATTTTGTAAAGCTAATACATAATATTAGATTTTGCGAATTCAGAAACAAGTAATACTAACGAGCAGCTATTCAAAAATACAATAAAGGGATTATTATAATATTCTTCCAATATATTTATAAGAATTATAGAGTGTACACATTCAGTTCTGTACATTAATATCTACTTCAATTTAAATAGCTTTATAACAAAATCAATAAACAATATATAAATACAAATGATGCGAAAGAAGTTTTGAAAATCTGATAATATACTTTATTACTATTTTCTAATATTTTACTAATTATATAATTCTAGTATCTTAATACTATCTTAGTCAAAAAGTTTACTTTAAGATAATGTTACGGGAGCTGCCTCTAGGGTCACGTGGAAGTGTCTAGAGATCTCTCGAGGTGGTTTAGACTAGACTTCAAGTAGGAATTCAATAAGGTTGTAACTGGTTGCAATTCTCGTAACTATAGTAATGAAACTAATGATTGTTCTTGAGCACGAAGCTCTACATTGTAATGAAACCCATTCCCTTATATAGACCTTCGTTCCTTGTTGTCCCATTGATCCCATCGTGTCCCACCAGGTGGGAGCAGTGGGATCCAGTGGGAATCTCTAATCCCGTGACTTTCTGATCAGGTGACTCGGTATGTTAGATGTCGTCGTAACACTATCCCCTTCCTAGCTTAGCGCTTGTCCCAAGCGTTCATAAAGTGAGTTTCCCCCACTTGATTAATTCCGTAGTGCCTTCCTTTCTGTTTGTTATGATGTCCGTTATTCGTTCTTCAAAATCTGTTGCTAGTCGTAAAAATATTTATTTTCGTTCTAAAGACAAAGGTGTCATTATGTCTTACAAGTGTAGTCGCTGTTTGGAGAAGAACCTTGAGTGTCGGGTGCTTCCAAATGCTGTGCGCTGTGGTGAATGTATAAAGAGTGTGGGCAGTGGTCGTTGTGATGTGTATGGCCACTCTGCGGGCGATTGGTCTCGTGTTAATTCTGAGGAAGAGCGTCTTGAGTTCGAGGAGGAGAAGGCTGCGAATGCTATGGCTGAAGCAGCTGCTCGGCTGGCTCCTGCGAAGGCAGAAGCGTGTTTTGCGGGAAAAGGCTGGCAAAATGCTTCAACATGACCTTCGTACTATTGAAGCTCTTGAAGAGTTTGAGGCTGAGGAACAGCGATTGGAAAATGAGCGTATTGAGAAGGAAAAGGAGTTGGCGTCTGTCTCTGCTACTGGCCCTAGCGACGGTTCCTTTGTTTTCGATTCTTCTTCTTTGGACCCTTCGATCCTGGCTTCAATGGATTCTCCTTCCTTCTGGGCAAATCCGGATATTGCTGGTGGAACGCCTCCAACTTCTCAGGGCAGTTGAGGTTTGTTCTTGGTTCCCATGAATTTTCGGTATGTGGATAATCTAACCATTTGATCAAATATTTAATTGTGCCTCTGACGTATTTACAATCTAGTATTGTTTCGACATCGTA